ATCTGTCATGTTATTTGTGGGAAATTCAGGCATCCTAGTCTGTATCGAAGTCTGCATCGTTAGAGAAAAGCGCCAGTGACAAGTAAAGCAGGCCTCCTGACCAATTTTGTGTCTTACCGTTGTGGACTCTCTTCCCTAATTCCCACTACCTATGACAATTGTACCCAGTTCACCGTTCTTTGTTAAAATACCTTCAGAAGTATGTCCCTTCAAGGCGTAGATGGCTAAATTTGGCATATGCAATGGGGTTGAGGGATTGATCGAAACGGAAATTCGCTGAAATTTGACCCTTCTACGAGTTGTAGCTCGCTGCCTAGAATGGTGCTTCTAACTGACCATGCCGACTTCAATACCGTCACAGCGTCTGTGAATGTGCCAAGTGCACTGTCCGATGCGGGAAATTGTCATGACGTTTGTGGAAGAGGACGCCGGAATGAGTGCACTCTTCGAGGTCCATCAACGCCATGGCAACAAGGAGACCAGATCATCTACACAGAGCTAGAAGAGATTATCGCCAAACCTAGGAACAGGCCAACTTGGTACTTTTGTCTACGATCGGAGCACTTTTGAAACACACGCTGTTTTGTGATCCAGCCCACCATGCTCACCACAAGAAGGGAGAAAATGGGCTTCGACTTAGTGGAATATTCTTCTTCATAGCTCCGTTGGCAATGCGATGCAAATAATTTAAGTGGGGCCTTCATGGTATGATGCTGATTGCCAGTCAGCAAAAGTGGGAAACACAAAACTGCTCGAGATAAGTGAGCACAATATACCTCGTCATTAGCTCAAGACAGCCTTTCTCTTGAGTAAACTTTATAAATAAGTGCTTATAAAAGGATGATGCTTAAATGACTGCAATCAGGACGAAGAGCGGAAGGCTGTATGTCATATGGTATCATTGGACCTAAGTTAAGGGTGTGTTTAGCTGGTCGGAGGGGAGTAGTGAAACGACTCAATCTACTGCTTTGAACTCGTACTTATGGCTTGCTTTGAGTCCTCTTCAAACGTCAACTTTGGATCGGAAGTCAAAGTTTATCAAATGCAATCTATCAAAATAAACATCACTTTGTTCCTTCAGTTTAAATGTCTTTCTTTAAAATCCAATTCACCATAAATATTTTTGGCAAATATCACCAATTCGTGAATTTTTTGATATAAGAAGTCTTATCTTGGCCCAACCTTCGCATACATAAATCTTTTCTTTATCCCATCCCCACCTCTGCTACCAATGATCTGACCACTTTCTTTTTCTGTAACCACCACACGTCTCAACCGCTTTATTTCCTGAAAAATCATTATCTTGTCTCCATTTGCCAAGCCGTGCACATATATAAAGTGAAGTATGGAGGTCAGAAGAACCCACGCATCCAGTTGGTATGGCAACGCAATTATCAAAAGCGGCGGGCACCATCCTAACAGTCAGGGCTATAAAGAGACAGAAGGGCAGAAGCGAAGTCTTTTGTTTAGGTTTTATGGCCATTAATAGATAAAACAGTTTGTTGTTATGATGTATGTGAAAGCCCAAAATCACATGTAACTTCAACGTGTGCCATATTAATTTACTCTGCTTCGCAATAATGGACTCATTCCTGCCCTTCATGGAGTTATCAACCCTAAAGGTTATGAAGGTGAAACACTCATTGGTTGCATTAATAGGACCAGGCTACGGCTTTATTGGTCAGGACTCCTTTATGGCGAAAATAATGAGAACTAATGTAAAAACTCATCCATCAAGCTTTCCCTTTATAAGTAGCTTTTCGAGACCACCAGTAGATCATATAAATGAGATGAGTTCATCTAATTTTGTCTAAGATGATTAAGGACTGATAGTTAAATCTTCCCATAAGCATATAAGCAGACCTCACGTCACCATTGAATTGTGCATAGCATTTTTTCCAAAAAGATATTCTCATCACTACCATACATTACTTATTTTTCGTTTGTAAGTAGGCTTTCGAGATTACCTGTAACTCAGACATATGAGACGACACAAGAGCCCTTATGTCCTGCTGGGAGTGTTGATGAGATCCGATCAAACGGGGTCGAACTTGCAGTCTACTCCTGCCTGGATATGAATACATTTTGGCAATCAAAGCTATGCGAAATTAAACGAAAACGTATGGTCTACTCGAATTATCGTGGGAAAATTAAATGACGAGTCCCTCTTCTCACCTTAAACGAAGTAAGGTCGTTTCCGATTCATCGACAGCGAAATAAATCATGACTAAAAAGAAGCAGAGCTGAACCGACTTCCAAATACTCAAGCACTCTTTTATGACCCACGATTTTTTCTTAAGATCGGCACGGCAAACTCGCGTTCAGGTGACACAGTGCATAGACCCAGGTTAGATGGTATTTTTGGCAGTATCTCGGAGACAGGTGGGTGTATAAGGACAAATTAGGGCAAAGCAAATAGATACAGCCAACTAACACTCGATGAGACGAACGCTGAAGGGAGGGAAAATCGAAAGGACAAGTAGACAGATAGGCAGACAGACCTACAACAGTTGTGAAACTTTAGGTCAAACTTAAAGACACACGAGTAGTCGGTAAAAATGCTACTAGAATTGAGACAGTAGCATACGTAGCTGGACCTGCATACATGCAATCAGGCATGGAGACAGACAAGCGAGCAAAACGAAGTATGCTTGTCTGAATTCAACACGCGGCTCTGGAAATATCTGCTACACGACGCAAAAGAGGTTCATCTAAGCAAACGACAGATTCCCTAGCCTGGATAAGCCCTGAACAACCAAGTCGTCAACGCCTTTCAACTTGTACCATGTTGATTCTACCAATGTCTTCTGTTGGGGCACATTTACGATTCTCGCCAAGTGGTGATGCTCCGCAAAAGGGACAAACTGAGGCAGCCAGTGGCGTGCACTCGGACACCTGATGCAGAGAAAGAGACAGACAGACAGACAGACGCCTCTGCCTGTTAATGAACAGATTCATATAGAACGCCCGATGGACAGATTCATATAGAGCGTCCGATGGACAGATTCATATAGAACGCCCGATGGAAAAATTCATATAGAACGCCCGATGGACAGATTCATATAGAACGCCCGA